AACTCAAGTTGTTGGACCTCTATAAATGTCAAGTCGCTTGTGTAACTCTCAAAATCCAGGACACAACCTACATTCAATTCGATAGTCAGATCAAGCAGTCAGCTTCAGGTCCTCTACAACTATGTGACTATCCTCAGCTTTTAGCTTGAGTAATCACTTCTTAATACAGGTCAGGCCGTGGCATAATCATAAAGTTCTCAAGATCCAATTCTTGAATCTTAAGAACTGGGGAGCTTTTGTTATGTCTAAAAAATCAGGGTTGATGTAAGGTTACATCAACAAACACCAATCAGAGTTCAGGAAGGCTTTGCACCATCCAAGAGCTGCCACGTCGCCCCAAGATAGAGAGAATACAACTGTCACCAACCCAGCAGATTCAGATTTTGTCTATGAGTGAATGGGGACCACACACCTGTCCAAGCCTCAGATAATTTGAGGATATTTCCTAAGTTATCAGCCAATGGGAGGCAAGGAAGGACTTGCACGGCACCTAGCCACTTGCAGAGTCGTGATCATTACCTTGGATCCAGCAGCTATAAATAGAGGACTCCCCGTCTCAAATTCGGGATCAATCATTCTCTTATTTTCACAATATTTAATAGTAAAGACAACCTACCAGAAAGAGACTGACTTAATATTCTCTTTGAATACTCAGATTATTGTACCTCTGCTCATTGTTCGCTATATGTGACCTCTTGTAACACTCACTTATATAAAAGAAATAGTAGATGAAGGAGTCACTTTAAGCATCCCAACTACTATAAAAATTCTTTGTCTCATTTATTATTTAGTCTTTGCACTCATTTGTGCTTACAACCTTATTACAACTCTAAAATCAATTAATCATGTGTAATTTCTAAGGTCAGCTTAGCGATTTGCACGTGCAAGGTTGTTGGTGTCAAAATCAAACGCAAGCCAATAGAAAGCTTCACAAGTCATAGAGGACTTAAAGTGATCAAAAACCGATGAAGCAAGTTGAATTTGTGTGTGATTTTATTTTATTTTCTTTTATTTCCTTTAGCATCATATTTATGGGATTGTATATATTATATGCATAATTAATAAGGAAAATTGTGTGGTAAGTAGGAGTTTGATGTAGCCTATTTTGTCAACAAACTAAGCCAATTTCTTCAGGTCTGGTCCTCCTATCAATCTATGGCAACCTTGCAAAAGAGTTGATAGGTAAATTAAAGGGACCTCATGTCTTGGCTTGGATTTTCTTTCAACTCCAGTTCTTTACTCGTAGGCCAACTTAGATGTTAACTAGGCTAGTTCCATTTATGAGAAAAGATCCACCAATGGTTGTTGCATCTATTTAGTTGGGAAATTTGATCCACTAGAAGTAGCATGTAGTATCTAGGTCATTGGCTTACTTGATTAGATTTTTGTGAGGAGTCTCCATGTTCTTTTTGTGCGGTTTGTGCCTTTTATGGATGTTTTTCATATTTTGATTGAGACTTTTTATCTTCGCTTAGGGTATGCCTCTCGTATTTTTGTATATTGNATAACAGCCCCCAAATTCTCTTAATTCTAATATAACTCTGCTACATCATCTTTTCCTTACAAAAACATCCAGATTTTGTGCCCTTGCTACATGCAAACCCAACAGTTTCCATTTCTTCATTTTCACCACTAACCAAACTTTAAAATTTGACAGAAAAGTCCCTCCTTATAAACAAAACCAAAGGGAATATATATATTATTAGAATGGGGTTTTACAGACCATTCTACCCCCAATTAGTAGGAATAGTGGGGAGTAAAATGTAAGGAAATTAAGTAGAGAATGTGTTGGTAATAAGGGTGTTTTTGCAAAGAATCAAAGGATATGGATGGAATTTCTAAAGAAGAGCAAGGGCAAAATGGGAAATGATGGTTATAATATGAGTTAAAAAGAGTTAAAGTGTAGAGAAACCTTTTATTCATTCATTTCCACCGCCATAACCATTCTCTAACTTCTCTCAATTCTCTATCCAATCTTCCAAGATTTCCAAGGACTTTTTGAGTAGTTTTGAGTAGATTTTTAATCTAAAGCATCCTTAGGTAAGGATTCTTGCTTTAGATGAGAGTTTTAGTATGTTTTGGTTAAAGTCTTATGTGTTGATGTTGTTGTTGTTTAAAGTTGTAGAGAGAAATCAAGCTACCAAAGGAAAGGAAAAGTGTTAGAGAAGCTATTCCCTTACAAGGTAAGTAAATCCAATCAAGTTGAGTTTTGAATAAGCTTTAGAGTAGAGATTTATTTTCACTATGTATGTATATGTTATACCTACTGAAAAATTGAGATGAGATGTGTGCTTAGTCCTAGTTGTTGGGTATGATTAAATTATGAGAAGTGTTTTTAATGTGTGATGAGAGAGTGAAATTGAGTTGAAGTTGGAGGAGTTGTGTATGAATATTTTGGGAGTGTTTTCTTTGGCAGGAACTATGACAGTATGAGGGAGTTTTCCTCCCATTTTGGATGATTAAAGAGAAGAGTAGAGTTATAGATAAGTAGAGCTTGGGTATGCACATGAGTTGTTTAAGGAAATGCCTAGGTGAAATCTGCCCTGTCACAACCGTGACTTTCTAAGTGAATTTTGGGGATTTTAAACTGGGCTGAGACCAAAACATCAAAGTTGTATCCCTGTGTTTAAGCTTTAAAACGAGACCAAAACCGTAGCAATCAGATATGTATAACGCAAGTTATGGCCTTTTTAGTGTAACCTGTGCAGAATGACTGTTTTGATGCAATATTGCATTTGGCATTTCATAAGTGCATTAGTGAGCATGAGTTGTCCTTATACATTTTTCTTATGCACTTAAGAAGTAGCTTGAGACATAGTAGAGAATGTAAGTATAAGCTACTTTAAGAGTAAAGAGAGAGAAAGAGAGTATGAGCACTAGAGAACGAAGAGAAAAGAGAATAGAGTAGGTTATGCGATGGGGAACCCATGAGTAATGGGTAGAGTTTCCCGCATGTACGCCGCATTGAGAGAGCGGCATGAGTATGAGAGAGAGAAAAGTGGTGTAGCCCGTGAGAGTGCATGCGGATGAGGGCTATACCCGAGTACCCGAGAGAGAGATTATACACTCACATGGCCAAGGGTTCCGAATCCATGCATAACCGAGTCCGATCGGCTAAAATGAGCAGAAGTCACGTAGAGTGGGAGCGAGTCCCGGCCGTGCCTCTGGTAAGATGAGGCCGTGACTACTAAAGAGAGTTAGTAAAAAGAGTTATGAGAAAGAGAGAGTAGTGAGAAGTATAAAGAGAGAGTAAATGAGAATTGTAAGGAAATAATTAGAGAGAGATAGTTATGGGGATAGATGTGTAGAGGATTTACTTACTGAGCATTAGTTGTGCTCACCCCGTTGTTTTTCATGTTTTGCAGGATCTAGGTGAGGACACGGTCGGATGGGCGTCGGCAAGCAAAGGGAAATGGCTACACTGTCCACCCTGTTTTGATGTTTTGTACATGATACAACTTTTTGTAGTTAAAGAATGTATATATTTAATAAAAGAAAAATTTGGGCCCAACCTTTTTATGTTATTTTATATGTATTTTATTATGTACATGTTTTATGAGTATTTGAGTGGAAAGCGGCTATTACATCACCTATCACATTGTGACTGACCTAGTTCTTTGTACTTTTTGGGTGTTCAAATGATCATGAGGATTAGTTGAGGTGCACACAAGCTGGCTCGGATACCCCAGTTATCCAAAAAAAAAAAAAATGTTATATGTACAAATAAATCTTACAAAAATATATACAAAGTGATGTGGTAGGAAATGAATGAAAGAGTAAATATGATGAGTTTGATTTTTTGTATTCCCTCTTTCAACCAGTAGTCACATCACTTTGTACATAAATCTTTGTAAAATTTATTTATATCTTTGGCATTACTCATATATTTAAGATACATATAGATACTATTTCCCTTTGTTTTTTTTTTTTTTTGGGGGGGGGGGGGGGAAGGAGCAGGTGAAAGGGGGTAAGAGAACATTATTAAAGAAGTTGATAAGTGAAGAACTGTTAAGATTCAAGCCTAATAATCAATCTCCAATATCAATCAATCACACAACCAAAACAATCCACACAATAACACAATCAAGAACAAACAAAAGATTTTTACCATAGTTCACCTATCCAAGATTGGATACTACATCCACGTTAAACTCTAGAATATTTGGGGCTCACTGCACTAATTAATCAAGAACTTATAATTATAAGAACAAAGTCACTCAATCACAACCAAAAACTCACTTTGTAACTCCTAATCTAGAGAAACTCTTCCTGGTATCTCTAATCTTTGAGAGAACGAACAACCCTCACAGAATGACTAAGAACTAATCACGCACTCACTGAAGTTACACTGATTTTTGGACTGAAAACTGAAAAATTTTGAGAGCACTTTGTTTTCACGAAAAAGAGAAGAAGACTGATATGTTACTGCACTTTTTGGGGCTGCTTGTAATGTTGACTTGAAGTGTAAATCTCAGCCATTGGATCACTATTTCCATCAACAATCAGCATTATCCCAAGCTCATTAAAATGACAGCACACAACTTATTCAATTTAAGCACATGCGATAGTGTTTTAGTGGCTTCACTTCAACAATCTCCACCTTGAAGCCCTTAAACACTGCCATCAGTTCCAAAATCTCATTAGTGCACTAACCCACTACATATTCCTTCATAGCTCAGTTACTACTGCCTATTTTATAAACAACAAGTCCAAGCAATGCTTGAACTTGGCAGTAGTAACAACTTTGGTACCTAAATTTGTCGGATTATCTGCAGTTGCCACCTTTTTCAGATTAATCACTCCCCGTGCTACCAAGTCTCTGACAAAAGGAATCGAACATCCACATGCTTGGTCCTCTCATGGTAGACAGGATTTTTACTCAAGTGTATTGCACTTTGACTGTCATAATATATTGTCACTATACCATCCATTAGTTCTACTTCCGACAGAATTCCTTGAAGCCACAAAGCTTCCTTAAACACATCTGCCACTGCTAAATATTATGCCTCAGTTGTGGATAGTGCTACAATTGGTTGTAGCTGAGACTTCCAACTCACACAATTTCCACCAAAAGTGAAGAAATAAGAGGTTGTTGACTTCCTAGTATCCCTATCTCCTGCAAAATCAGAATCTACAAACCCCATAAGATCAAGTGCATTACCTCTCTTACAATATTCCAAACCAACATGAGATGTACTATTGATATACCTCAACAACCACTTTAATGCATACCAATGTTCAGTTCCAGGATTAGACATAAACATACTAAGCAGAGAAATAGCAAAGGACAGGTCTGGTCTAGTACTAATCATAGCGTACATAACTGAACCTATTGCATTAGAATAAGGTACATTTTCCATTTTAATCAACTCAGAATCAGACTTGGGGCTTTGAGATTTACTTAACATAAAGTGATTAGCTAAAGGCATAGATACCATTTTTGAGCCAGACATCCCATATTTAGCAACCAATTTCTGTAAGTATGACTGCTGCTAAATTTTAAGTTCGCAACCTGCTCTGTTTCTATTTATTACCATCACTAGTATTTTCTTAGCAACACCTAAGTCCTTCATATCAAATTCAGAACTGAGTTTTTGTTTTAAATCATCTATCCTAGACTTAGATTTGCTAATAAGTAGCATATCATCAACATACAACAATAGATAAATTGGCATGTTATCACTCAATGCAAAATAGAAACAACTATCATACTTACTCCTCATAAAACCAACACCTACTATAAATGAATCAAACCTTTTATACCACTGCCTAGGTGACTGTTTTAGACCATACAAAGACTTAAGCAGTGAACATACATGATTGGACATATTTTTATCTACAAAACCAGGAGGTTGGCACATGAAAATCTCCTCTTCTAAGTTACCATGCAAAAAAGCTGTTTTTACATCTAATTGTTTTAATTCTAAGTCCCAATGAGCAACTAAAGATAGCATAAGTCTGATGGTTTTATACTTAACTACCGGAGAGAAAATCTCCTTAAAGTCTATGCCTTCTCTTTGGGTATAACCCTTAGCTACTAATCTAGCTTTATACCTAGGAGGATCATGCACAGACATACCATCTTTAAGTTTAAACAACCACCTACACTGTATTAGTTTATGATCTTGGGTTTTAGGGACCAAAGACCATGTTCCATTTACCTTAAGTGAGTGCATCTCTTCTTTCATGGCAGCCTACCATTTGTCTTTGGCCTTGGACCTCATTGCTTCTTCAAACGTATCAGGTTCTATCCTCTGAACTTCAGTACCTGCAAGCAAAATAGTGTATATCAAATCCGCATAAGAATATCTTGCAGGTGGTTTAACATCCCTCCTGGTTCTGTCCCTTGCTAACTGGTATTGTTGCAAGTCAAGTTATTGAGGTTCCTCAATCTTTCCGGTTACATCTTCAGTTTCTTGGGCAAGTTCAACAATTTCTGGTGTAGTTTCAAGTTTAAATTCAGTCTCACAATGTGGCAGATCAGGTTGCTGTATTGTTGGCTCCACCTCAATTAGAGTAACATCTGTTAGGCTAGAATTTTCTTCATTGTTACTAGAGGTACCTACATCACTGTTAGTAGATTTGCATGGAAAGACATTTTCATTAAAGATCACATCTCTACTAATTATGATTTTTATCCATGTTGACTTTTTATTCCATAGCCTATATCCATTGGTTCCTTCTTGGTATCCCAAGAAAACACACCTAATAGATCTAGGTTCTAACTTGCCTTCACTTGTGTGTGCATAGGCAGCACACCCAAATACTCTTAAATGGCTCAAGGTTGGCATCCTCCCTGACCATTTCTCTTCAGGGCACTTAAATTTTATTGCACTAAAGGTGCTCCTATTCACTAAGTAGGCTGCAGTAGTCAAAGCTTCTCCCCAAAAGGTTTTTGGTAATCCTGAAGTAAATAGGAGGCATCTAATCTTCTCTAATAAGGTCCCGTTCATCCTCTCAACAACACCATTTTGCTGAGGAGTCATTCCAACAGTCATATGCCTAAGAATTCCTTGGTCACTACAGAATTGATCAAATTCAACATTACAAAATTCTAGGCCATTATTTGTTCTTAATGCCTTGACCCTCTTATCTATTTGATTCTCCACTAACAACTTCCAGCTCTTAAACTTAGTTAACGCCTCATTTTTAGATTTCAGAAGGTAAAGCCACACTTTCCTATTGAAATCATCTACTATAGACATGAAATAACAATTTCCCCCATGGGACCTGACCTTTTCAGGCCCCCACAGATCTGAATGAAGGTATTCCAAACAGTTTGAGGCAAGGTGAGTTCCTTTTGTGAAACTCACCCTGTGTTGTTTACCCAACACGCAATTCTCACAGAAATCAAAAGTAGTTGTAGTGTCCTTACCAAATAGTCCTTGTTGGTTAAGGATATTCATCCCCTTCTGACTCATATGGCCTATTCTGAGGTGCCACTTCTCTGTCACAGAAAGGTTAGTAGAAACAAGAGCAGAATTGAAACAGTCAGAATAAAAGTTACCACAGAGAATATAAAGCCCGTTCATTTTAACACCTTTCAGGATAAGGTTGTTATTTCTATACACATTCAGACAACCATGTTCAGCCCTATAACAACAGCCAGACTCGTCTAGAGTTCCTAAGGAGATCAGATTCCTTTTGAGTTCAGGGATAAACCTAACCTTAGTCAATTTATTTAGCTTCCCATCATTCAGCTTCAAGGTTATACTACCCATCCCTTTCACTTTACAGGCATTGTTGTTACCCATGAAAACAGTCTCATTCTCACATGCTTCATAATCCCGAAACCATTTTCTATTTGGACTCATGTGAAGAGAACATCCTGAGTCTAATACCCAATCCTGTACACAGTCTAACTTAGATACTGTAAGAACTTCAGACTCTTCAATGACATGTTTGGTTGAGGCTAAATTACTCTCTATGTTTCCCTGTTTCTGTTTTTTAATCCACTCAAAGCAATTTTTCTTTAAGTGGCCTATTTTGTTACAATAAAAACGTTTTCTTGTTTCTCCTTTAGGCTTATTATTCCCCTTTCCCTTCTTCTTATTCTTATAACTAGGGTTATGCTGAGTACCTTTACTAGGTTGACCAGACTCAATTTTACCCTTTACAAACAATGTATTACCATTTCATTTTTGGATTTTCAACTCTAATTCCCTAGCTTTTAAACTAGATATAATTAGATCCAGACTAGGTACTGTACCAGTATACTGCAAAGCATTTTTAACTACTTGATACTCTTCAGTTATTGAGTTTAACAATATCATAGCTAGATTGGTGTCCCCTAATTCCTAGTCTGTACATTTCAATATCAAAGTCATTTTAAGGAATTCATCTAGATTATCATCAATAGACTTAGTACTGTCCATTTTGCCGTCATATTGTGTAATCTCCATCCGTGTGGTGGACATTGTGAGAATTTTGGTAAAGATATCAAGAATTTACCCAATTAACCCTAGAAATCAAAATTGATCTCTAATTTCGGAGAATTGACAACTCGGTTTGACAAGATTAAAGACTCTAGTGTACAACAGGGCAGTTAGACACAAAACCCCCAAATTTCAACGAACCTAGATTTCAAGAAACCTACCCAATTGGACGATTAACACCTCGAATTTCAGATCTAAGAACCTTAGACTACTAAGAGACTGATCAATTGAAAAACCCCCAATTTAATGAACCTTAGATTTCAAGAAACCTATTGATCGAAGAAAGAACGAAGAACCCTAGAAATTCTACCTCTGATACCACTGTTAAGATTCAAGCCTAATAATCAATCTCCAATATCAATCAATCACACAACCAAAGCAATCCACACAATAACACAATCAAGAACAAACACAAGATTTTTACCGTGGTTCACCTATCCAAGATTAGGGGTGCGCAAATCCAGATATCCGATCCGAATATGGCATTTTTTGATCCGATCTGAATTTTTGGATCAGACTATACTCTGATCTGAATCCGATCCGAATTATGCGGATATCTGATTATTCGGATCAGATAACCGGATATTCGAATGTGATCCGAATTTAACAATTTTCTTTTTAAAATCAAATAATTCTAGAAATAAAATTGAAATTATAATTCCCTTACAATTACATGATAAAAGTATCTAAAAAAATTAACATGAAGCACAAAACATTTAACTTATGTTGTCCAAACATTTAATTCTTTGAATGTGTTTCATATGAGCTTTATGTACACAACATTTTTGCTTGGTCTGGAACTTGTAGCTGATACAACTCCACATTTTCAATTACTTCCTTCGGAGCACCTCGACCCAGAAACGTGAGAACCTATGGCCATGAACCAAACACCATAGTAAGAACATCTGCAGATCATCCTTTAGAAACGAAATATTTACAGATTTTGATAGAAAATGAAATAAAAATGTTACTGTTAATTTTTTTTCCAGCTATTTTAATCCAAGGCCTCTTATTCCAAGCCCTCAGAAACAATGAGGACATTACAATTCATGGATGAATATATAATATATGAGAGAAAGCAATGTCATTTTTGAACTATCATCAGTTCTATCATAACAGTTGGAGAAAGTACATAACAAAAGCCAGATGATGGCAAAGATGTTGATTAGTAGACATAACCAAATACGGTCAAACTACTTCATTATTGCTTGCTTCGAGAGAAAAAACAGAAATGGGAATGAGGAAACAAGAATCAAACCTCATTTGCCTCCACTCAACTTGTTCCTATCTTACTATCTCAGCAGCCAGCACTTCACCTTTCGGTGAAGCAAGCAAGCAATGCATCTCAAACAAACCAAATTAAAACATTTTCAGTTTCTCATAATATTCCTTTTCCACTTTTCTATCACCAACCATGCTTCCTTCCACAATAAACAAAGCTAGGAAAATTCTCCAATGGATTAGATTTAGGGGTCAAACTACAATACCCAGATACTTTTTTTGGTGATAAAGATTAAATTATAAAAACAAAGTTTTATTGTAGTCAAATTTGTAGATTCAATATTTATTGTAGCCTTAGGGATATATGACGTGAACAAAATTCAGCAACTCTAAATTCTAAAGAAATTAACTTACGATCGATTTGGGGCTTCAATCGTCAAAGAGACTGAGATTTGACAGAGTTGAGCGAGAGACACTAGCCACTGTGCATGTTCGAGCGAAAGAGACCGAAAGAGTTGAGCGAGAGAGAGTGACTGAGTGAGAGACTGAGCTGAGATCTGGTCTGAGAGTTTGAGTGACTGTGAGGTCTGTGCGACTGTGCATGACTGCGTGTTCCAGCGAGGCAACAGCCAGCGAGAGCCGAGAGAGACTGACACTCTGAGAGTGAGAGAGACAGAGAGTGTGTGAGGTCTGTGCTGTGCGTGACTGCGTCTGCGTGTTGCCGTGTTCCAGCGAGAGAGATTGAGAGTGAGAGAGAGTGAGAGACAGGCTTCCGACTTCTG